TAGAGGTGATTTTGATTGATTTTACTATAAAAAGAACCTAGAAATGGAGCTCAAATTAGGGGAAATGTTTGATTTTTGCCAATGTTCAAAAGTAAACAAATGATGCCATTGTCCAATAAATGTCCAACTAGCCATTCTAATATGCAGTCATGAATGGGTTGATGTTATTTATACAATTATTACAGTATTGCAGTAGTCTGCATAATAGTAAGTCTTCTATTTTTTGTTTGAATAAAAATTCAAAATAGAAAGCAAGAGTAATATCAGAGGGGCCTGGAGACGTGACTGATGAACAAAGAAAAAGTTATTGTAGACCCAGGAATGTCTGCATTGTTCATTCTGGACCTAATTTTGAAATTGTCATATTTTTTAATTTTCGTGAAATTGGCCAAATTGCAAATTTCTGACCATATTATTAGGTAGTTGAAATCGGTAAATGGGCAGTTTCTTATACTAAATCGATAGAAAAAATGGAGTTCTAAAGAAATAGCTATGAGTTTGGGCGACTGGAACAAGGGAATTAGCCGAAAATAGGGCTCAAAGTACGAGAAATCGCCAATTTGTAAACAGCGCCGAGGTCGCTAACTTCGCAAGAGCATAATTCTGTCAGTTTTTCCATCAAATTTCGTTCTTTTGGTGTCATTACAATCGGGAAAAGATTCTCTATCATTTCATAAGAAAAATTTTTTTTTTTTTTTTTTAAATTTTGCGACACCAGGAGACACCTCAGGATTGGGGGTTGCGACAGTCAAAGGGTTAATGTAAAGTAAGACATTTAATGTGCCCAAGAGTGATTATTATTAGTATTACATAATGTTTTTCCTCCACTTGGCAACCACACCTCCATAGCATATAAACAGCATGTTTATATGCTATATAACATGTTTCTTATATATTTTTGAAGAAAATGTCATAGATGGATTAACGAAAACGTCTATATTGACGTAAAATTAGACATTTAATGTGCCCAAGAGTGATTATTATTACATAATAGAGAGATGTGCTCATGGAGAATGTAAACAAACTGGGTGGCCCGTGCCGTATCTGAAAGACCACTTGCTGTATAGAAAGTTTTGGTCATAATTTGAGATTGCCGTACTAGTGGAATGCCATAAGGAGAAACGCCGAAAAGCAGGGCCCTACTGTATATTGGTTACAAAATTTGTTTACACAAATCAACAATAAAAAAGTTGTTTATTACTTTTGTTCTATAATATATACAGGTCTCCCTCCACATTCATGAGTTCCACTTTTGCGGACTTTGAACATTCGCGAATACCCAGCCATCCAATCATATTTAAAATATGTCATTAACACATGTTAGGAGTTGTGGCGGTGGCAGAGTTTGTTACGAGATAGGACAAGATAGTCCTTCAATATTTATTTATTTATTTATTTATTTATTTGAACATGATACAGAGAAGTACAAGGAATACAATTTTTAAAGTGCAGCATGCCAAAGCCCCTTGTATGCAGAGCATTATGGGCAGGCTTAAAATTAACTTAAGATTAACTAAGCAATGATATATTCAGTGGTACAAAAATTATTGTAAAACAGATAACAGTTTAGTACAAATGAGTATTACAAAGACAGGTCATATGGTCATTTACTGTGTTGCTGTGTAATCAGTAGAATGGAGTATTCTGTAAGGTAATGAAGTTAAATAGTAACAAAGTTTGATTGGGTCACAGGTTGACATTTATGAGGTACAATAATGAGATACAGTGGTCCCTCGCTTTTCGTAGTTCTCGGCAATCATAGATTTCGGAAATCATAGGGGTATTTTTGTATAAACATGGGCTCGCTTTTCATAGGTTGACTCACGAGTCGTAGTTTGTCCGGGACACGTACCCACGGAGTGAGCCAGGGCGGCAGCCAGTCTGGCATTGTTTACCAGTGAGCGAAGGTCCCCTCACGTGCTCCAGCAAAATATTTCATAATATTCCATTTATTTTAGTGCTTGCAAGTACTACTAAATAAGCTACCATGGCTCCAAAGAAAGCTCCTAGTGCCAAGCCTGTGGTAAAGAAGGTGAGAAATACGATTGAATTTAAGAAAAACATCATTGAACAATATGAAAGTGGTACAAGTGCGGCCAAACTGGCCAGGATGTATAAGAAACCCTACACAACCATATGTTCCATAGTGGCCAAGAAAAGGGAAATCAAGGACACTGTTGTTGCAAAGGGAGTAACTATGCTGACAAAAATGAGATCACCAGTACTTGAAGAGGTTGAGAAGTTATTATTGGTGTGGATAAATGAGAAACAATTAGCAGGAGATACTCTTATGACTTCGATTATTTGTGAAAAGGCTAGGCAGTTGCATGAAGATTTGGTAAAGAAATTGCCTGAAAATAGTGGTGAAGTGAGTGAATTTAAGGCCAGCAAAGGTTGGTTTGAGAGATTTAAGAACCGTACTGGCATACACAGTGTGGTAAGGCATGTTGAGGCTGCCAGTTCGGACCACAAGGCGGCTGAAAAATATGTGCATGAATTCCAGGAGTACATAGAGGCTGAAGGACTGAAACCTGAACAAGTGTTCATTTGTGACGAAACAGGCCTCTTTTGGAAGAAAATGCCAAAGAGGACCTTCATTACACAGGAGGAAAAGGCAATGCCAGGACACAAGCCTATGAAAGACAGGCTGACACTAATGTTCTGTGCTAATGCTATTGGGGATTTCAAAGTGAAGCCATTACTAGTGTACCATTCAGAAAATCCCGGAGTGTTCAGGAAAAACAATGTTATGAAAAGTAAATTGTGTGTGTTTTGGAAATCTAATAGTAAGGCATGGGTCACGAGGGAAATTTTCATCGAGTGGTTCAATGAAGTGTTTGGCCCTAGTGTGAAGAATTACCTCCTGGAAAAGAAATTGGATCTCAAGTGCCTGCTAGTAATGGACAATGTACCTGCTCATCCTCCAAACTTGGATGACCTAATTTTCGAGGAGTTTGGGTTCATCACAGTAAAGTTCTTGCCCCCGAATACCACTCCTCTCCTCCAGCCCATGGACCAGCAGGTCATTGGAAACTTTAAAAAACTCTATATCAAAGCTATGTTTCACAGGTGCTTGACTGTGACCACAGACACTCACTTGACCCTAAGGGAATTTTGGAGAGAACACTTCAGCATCCTCCATTGCGTAACCCATATAGGTATGGCTTGGGAGGGAGTGACTACCAGGACTTTGAACTCTGCCTGGAGAAAATTGTGGCCAGATTGTCGACAAGAGGGATTTTGAAGGGTTTGGGACTGACCCTGATGAGCCTATGTCTGTTGTAAAATCAGTTGTGGCACTGGGGAGTTCCATGGGGTTGGATGTGAGTTTGGAGGATGTGGAAGAATTGGTGGAAGACCACAACGAAGAGCTCACCACTGAGGAGCTGCAAGAGCTACAGCAGGAACAGCAACAGATCGCAGCTCAGAATCTTGCTGCAGAGGAGGAGGAAGAGAGATGGAAGATGGTGCCTTCTTCAGAAATTAAAGAGATTTTTGCTATGTGGGGTAAGATGGAAAGATTTATGGAAAAACATCACCCTGACAAGGTTGTTGCAAGCCATGTTGGCAACATGTACAGTGACAAAGTCTTGGGCCATTTTAGGGAAGTGTTAAAGAGACGCCAGAAACAGAGCTCTCTCCACAGTTATTTTGCGAGACAGGACTCCAGTGACTCTCAAGGTGGTCCTAGTGGCATTAATTTGATTTCCATTATTTCTTATGAGGAAAATTGATACACTTTTCGATATTTTCAGTATTCAATGAGCTCTCAGGAACGGATTAATATCGAATACCGGGGTCCACTGTATTTACAAAAATAAAAAATATGTTCTCAGACACAACATCTTCACTGCCTGTAGCCTCCTCCTTGCTGCAACATTCACAACCCATGCTTCACACCCATATAAGTGTATTGGTGTCCCTATACTCTCATATAGTCTCCTTTTTACCTCCACAGATGCCTCAATGCATCACCTACCTTTTTCCCCATTATCAATTATGTGGTGCGTCTCATCTTACATAGATCCATTCACCGACAAGTCCATTCCTAAATGTCTGAACAAATTCACTTCCTCATAGCAGGGGGCTAGTAACCCCTTCTCCTGTGTAAATTACTGAATCGGAAAAGGAAAACTTTAGTTTTTTTTTTTTTTTAGGTCACTCTGCCTCAGTGGGACATGGCTGGTGCACTGAAAGAAAAAAAAAAAATTTCTTCCATATTCTCTACTTCCAATCTGGTATCCAGTCTTTTGTTACCTAAATCATTTGTTACCTTCATCACCTTGCTCTTTCTTATGTTCACTTTTAATTTCCTTCTATTTCATACCTTCCCTAATTCATTCACCAACCTTTGCAACTTCTCAGAATCTCCCAAAAGCTGGAGGCAGGTGAAATGTAGTTTTTTAGGGTAATATGTTGTGTGAATTATATGCAGAAAATTTGAAGCTTGGTTTATGAGGTGTGGGGGTTACCAAAAGAGCTGAAGAGGGATTGTTGAGGTGGTTTGAACACTTAGACAGGTTGGCTGAAAATAGGATAACCAGGAGGGTGTATAACTACATTGGGGGGAAGGATATGTAGGGGTAGGGATCAGCACCACTTTAGCAAGACATAGATTGAGTGAGTGATGGTTAAAGTCTCTCCTTTTCTGGGTCACCTTCCCTCAGTGGGAGATGGCCAGCATAAAAAAAAAAAAGCTCACAATACCAAGGCTGGAACAATCAGAAATAATCCACACTTGGAGAGGAAGCTTTGATGACTTTTCAGTCAGTTGCTACTTGATAATGGTCCATAAAAGATTGAAATGTCATCAAAACTTTCTTCCCTTAAGCTTGGATTATTTGTGAATTGTTGCTAGTTATTTTTATGTCGTATGGTTACACCAAATGGCATTTTAGTCAACACGAAAACTGTCTGCTTTTATCTCAGGTTTGTGGTTTACTTGTGAAGTGTTTCATCAATTTTATTTTTTCAAGGCTTAATATATTTGCACTTCACAGAGTTAGCAGCCAAGGTACGAGAAAATTTTTCTGAGTTATATACTCAGCGACGTGAATTTGAAAATCAACACAACAGCCACCACCTACCTCTGCCTTGGAACAAAAACTTCAGGTTAGTGAGTTCCTTAGATTCTATAATACTTTTTGTTTATTATTTATTTATTAGCATTATATCATACTGTATTTTGGAATACAGTTTGTATTTTTTTACACATAGTTTGTATTTTGGAATATAGACTGTCTTTTGAAATAGCCTTGTATAATGCAGTATAATACATGAAAAAATAAATAACTTTTATTAATATGATAGGATTTTTGCTCTGAGACATTTTATGTTTTATATTCATTAGCTGTCAAAAATATTCTTCACAGAATTTCCAGTTTACACATTATGCATAGCTCAATAGCATTTTAAGATTCTCTGTAAAAAATGTATTAATTCAGTGCAAATTATTTAAAAATATTGTTGCTTCTAGTTGTCTCAGAGAAAATTGCTTTAATCACGATCATGAATATATTTCAGATGGAGGCAGATTCATCAGGATGGCCGCAGTTGGGTGGAGAGAGCAGGGGGATGGCGTACAGTAATGTGTATTTCATCAATATATATCTTGGGTATTGGAATTTGGTTGTACTTAGGAAATTCTGGGAAGTTACCCTATGATTATCATGTGCTTATTGCTGGTGGAGTTATGTAGAATTGAATACAAGCTTTATTTTAATTCAGACAAATATGCTTTGGTTTTTTAACAAAAATATGCAGTATATTGTCCTTATTTGTAAATAAAATACTCAGAAATCATTTTGGGCATATTTTATCTACAGATTAAGTTTATTTATCAGGTTATAAGTTCTTTAGGGATTTGAAAGCTGGCATCTTAGTGTTATATGGGAAAATATATGATACAGTACTTTATTTGATTATAAGGATACAGTACTTTGTCTGAAGGTAGACTTTGGCATAGGGTGACAGGGGATAATTTTAAAGCCAGTTTTAGCAGGGAAAGTATTTGTTATATGACATACAATGTGATGTTTTGTTTATTTCTTTGTATTTAATAAAGCTCCTCTGAGGTAAACATTGTATAATTAAAATATTATTGAAACTACCACTTCGTTATAAGTTCAGTTATATAAGTGTCTTAGCTATGCTGAATGACCCATATGGGTTCAGCACATTTTTAATATAATAAGAATAGAAATATTACTAACACAATCTTATTCTGCATGATTGAATTAAAGTACCTTCTCGTTCAGTAATGAACCATGTAAGCTAAGTTGCAAGTTGAAGGTAAAACTTTGTGCAGGTAGCACTAAGTACAGTGGAACCTCTATTTACGAGTTTAATCCGTTCCATGACCTTCCTCGCATCTGGATTTACTTGTTTGTAGAGTCAATTTTCCTCATTTAAATTAATTGAAATGGAATTAACCCTTTCAGGGTCCATGCCATGGATCTACAGCTTTACGTTGAGGGTCCAAACCGTAGATTCACGCCATGAGCTCAGCTCACTCTGATAAGCTGTGAGTGGTAAATTTGAGCCTAGATATGAGAGAATACATCTATGTGGTATGTGTGCACCACATAAAACAAATCGATTAACCCTTTCGGGGTTTCGGCCATACTAGTACGGCTTACGCGCCAGGGTTTTTGACGTACTAGTGCGCATAAATTCTAGCACCCTCAAATCTAGCAAGAGAAAGCTGATAGGCCTACATATGAAAGAATGGGTCTATGTGGTCAGTGTGCACAGTATAAAAAAATTCCTGCAGCACACAGTGCGTAATGAGAAAAAAAAACTTTGACCGTGTTTTTGGTTTAAAACAGCGACTTTGCACTGTATTTTCGTATGGTATTTATTGTTGTACAGTGGACCCCCGCATAACGCTATTAATCCGTTCCTGAGAGCTCAATGTTATGCGAAAATATCGTTATGCGAATTAATTTTCCCCATAAGAAATAATGGAAATCAAATTAATCCGTGCAAGACACCCAAAAGTATGAAAAAAACAATTTTTACCACATGAAATATTAATTTTGATACACACAAACTTAAGAAAACATGCACAGTTACATGACACTTACCTTTATTGAAGATGTGGTGATGATTGATGGGATGGGAGGAGAGGAGACTGGATGGTTTTAGTGTTTAGAAGGGGAATCCCCTTCCATTAGGACTTGAGGTGTCAAGTCCTTTTCCGGGGTTGCTTCCCTTCTTCTTTTAATGCCACTAGGACCAGCTTCAGAGTCACTGGACTTCTGTCGCACAACATATCTGTCCATAGTGGCCTGCACCTCTCGTTCCTTTATGACTTTCCTAAAGTGTTTCACACCAGTGTCAGTGTAATAGTCACCAGCACGGCTTGAAATAGCTGTCTGAGGGTGATTTTCATTCATGAAGGTTTGCACTTCAAGCCACTTTGCACAGATTTCATTAATCTTTGAAGTAGGCAACTTCTTCAATTTCTCTCTCCCCTCCTCCGAAGCAATTTCCTCAGATGTGGCCTCTTGCTGTTGAAGTTGATCTAGCAGCTCATCAGTGGTTAGTTCTTCATTGTCCTCCTCCACCAACTCTTCCACATCCTCCCCACTAACCTCCAACCCCAAGGACTTCCCCAATGCCACAATTGATTCCTCAACTGGCATAGGATTCTCAGGGTTAGCCTCAAATCCTTCAAAATCCCTTTGGTCTACACATTCTGGCCACAGTTTCTTCCAAGCAGAGTTCAAGGTCCTCTTAGTCACTCCCTCCCAAGCCTTACCTATAAGGTTTACACAATTGAGGATATTAAAGAGACGCCAGAAACAGAGCTCTCTCCACAGTTATTTTGTGAGACAGGACTCCAGTGACTCTCAAGGTGGTCCTAGTGGCATTAAGAAACAGAGAAGAGAAGCAACCCCAGAAAAGCAAATGGTACCTGAGGTGTTGATGGAAGGGGATTCCCCTTCCAAACTATAAACAATCCACTCTCTCTCCTCCTCCAGTCTCCCATACACTAAGAAGAATCTCCAATAAAGGTAAGTGTTATGCTGTTAATGTTTCATTCATCATTTCCCATTGTATTGTTTATGTACTACATGCATATTTCATGTTAAAAATTTTTTTGTTTTAATACTTCTGGGTGTCAGGAACGGATTAATTGTATTTACATTATTTCTTATGGGGAAAATTGATTCGTAAATCGTAAATTTCGTTTATAGTAACGGCTCCAGGAACGGATTAATTACGAACAACGAGGGACCACTGTATACTAATAGTCATAGTGCTAGGAATAAGATGGATGAGTTGAGATTAGTTGCTAGTGCAGGTAACACTGATTGACGTATTTACCATAACTGCGACACGGTTTAATTCGAAAAATCAGGACATGCCTGCTGAATGTCACATTCAGGGTTTTAAATTTTTCCAAGTAGATAGAAGTATCAGGAAGGGGGGTGGGGTGGCACTGTATGTCTGAGATTGCTTGAGCTGTTTACCTGGAGAGAGTTCCGGGGGTCAACGCCCCCGCGGCCCAGTCTGTGACCAGGCCTCCTGGTGGATCAGAGCCTGATCAACCAGGCTGTTACTGCTGGTTGCATGCAAACCAACGTACGAGCCACAGCCCGGCTGGTCAGGAACCAACTTTAGGTGCTTGTCCAGTGCCAGCTTGAAGACTGCCAGGGGTCTGTTGGTAATCCCCCTTATGTATGCTGGGAGGCAGTTGAACAGTCTCGGGCCCCTGACACTTATTGTATGGTCTCTTAACGTGCTAGTGACACCCCTGCTTTTCATTGGGGGGATGTTGCATCGTCTGCCAAGTCTTTTGCTTTCGTAGTGAGTGATTTTCGTGTGCAAGTTCGGTACTAGTCCCTCTAGGATTTTCCAGGTGTATATAATCATGTATCTCTCCTGCCTGCGTTCCAGGGAATACAGGGTCAGGAACCTCAAGCGCTCCCAGTAATTGAGGTGTTTTATCTCCGTTATGCGCGCCGTGAAGGTTCTCTGTACATTTTCTAGGTCAGCAATTTCACCTGCCTTGAAAGGTGCTGTTAGTGTGCAGCAATATTCCAGCCTAGATAGAACAAGTGACCTGTTGCATAAAAACGGGTATAAAGTCTGAAATAACACATACAGAATCTGTCTGGGTAGAATTTTCAGAGGGGCATGAAAAATTTATTTTAAGAGTGATATACTGTCCCCCAAGCTTAGATAGTGACCAAGGGAGACTACTATGGGAAGAAATTGTTAAGGCCACAAGGCATGATAACATAGTAATTCTAATGACTTTTTAGAAGTAGTACAGGATTGTTTTTTGAAGCAGTTTGTGACAGAACCTACAAGGGGAAATAACCTGCTTGACCTGATTCTGGCAAACAAGGAAACCCTTGTTAATAATTTAGAAATTACAGAGGAGCTCAGTACAAGCAATCACAAATCAATAACCTTTGGCATTGAATGCAAGTATGATAGTAGGGATAATCCAGTAATGGTCCCAGATTTTTGCTTAACAGATTACAATGGGCTTAGAGAACACTTATCATCTGTGGGCTGGGGTAACGAAAAAAGCTATCATTAGACAGCTTTCTTTCATTAACATCTCCCCAAAGAACATTTATCCCTATAAAAAAATTGGATTGAATAGAAATGACCCAAAATGGATGAATAATAGGCTCAAATATCTTGTAGGACAGAAGAAAGGAATTTATAAGGACATCAAAAGAGGTGGGGGTCATGTTATGAATCAAAAATTTGACATTAACGGGGACGTTAAAAAGGGGGAAAAGAAAAGCTAAAACAGTGTCCCCCGTTTTTCGTAGCCCCCGGCAATCGAAAATTTTCGCCAATATAGAGGTATTTTCGTATAAACATGCTCGTTTTCATGGGTTGACTCGCGAGTCGTATTCGTCCGGGGACGCGTCCCCACCGTGAGCAAGCGGCAGCCAGTCTGGCATTGTTTTACCAGTGAGCAAGGCCCCCCTCACGTGCCCAGCGAAATATTTCATAATATTCCATTTATTTTAGTGCTTGAATACAAAAAAGCTACCATGACCCAAAAGAAAGCTCCTAGTGCCAACCCTGGGTAAAGAGGGTGAAAATACATTGAATTTAAAAAAAACCATCTTTAAACAATAAAAAGGGGAAAAGTGTGGCCGAACGTCCAGGGTGTTAAAAACCCCACACAACCTTATGTTCCAAAGGGGCCCAAAAAAAATTAAATAAAGGGTGCTGTTTTGCAAAGGGGGTAACTATGCTGACAAAAATGAACACCATACTTGAAAAGGTTGAAAAGTTATTATTGGGGTTTGGGTAAATAGAAACAATTAGCGGAGATACTCTTATGACTTCGTTTATTTGTGAAAAGCTAGGCATTGCATGAAGTTTGGGAAAGAATTGCCCGCAAATTGGGGAATGAGTGAATTTAAGGCCAGCAAAGGTGGTTTTAGAGATTTAAGAACCGTACTGGGATCACAGTGTGGGAAGGCATGGGGAGGGTGCCATTCGGACCCCAAGGCGGCTGAAAAATATGTGCCGAATTCCAAGTACATAGAGGGTGAAGGACTGAAACCTGAAAAGTGTTCAATTGTGACGAAAAAGGCCTCTTTTTGAAGAAAATGCCAAAGAGGCCTTCATTACACAAGAGGAAAAAGGGAAGCCAACACAAGCCTAGAAAACAGGCTGGTGCTAATGTTCTGTGCTAATGCTAGTGGGGATTTCAGAGTGAAGCCATTACTAGTGTACCATTCTGAAAATCCCAGAGTGTTCAGGAAAAACAATGTTATGAAGAGTAAATTGTGTGTATTTTGGAAATCTAATAGTAAGGCATGGGTCAAGAGGGAAATTTTCGTCGAGTGGTTCAATGAAGTGTTTGGCCCTAGTGTGAAGGAGTATCTCCTGGAAAAGAAATTGGATCTCAAGTGCCTGCTAGTAATGGACAATGCACCTGCTCATCCTCCAAACTTGGATGACTTAATTTTCGAGGAGTTTGGGTTCATCACAGTAAAGTTCTTGCCGCCAAATACCACTCCTCTCCTCCAACCCATGGACCAGCAGGTTATTGCAAACTTTAAAAAACTCTACACAAAAGCAATGTTTCACAGGTGCTTGACTGTGACCACAGGCACTCACTTGACCCTAAGGGAATTTTGGAGAGAACACTTCAGCATCCTCCACTGCATAACCCTTATAGGTATGGCTTGGGAGTGACTACCGGGACTTTGAACTCTGCCTGGAGAAAATTGTGGCCAGATTGTGTCGACAAGAGGGATTTTGAAGAATTTGGGACTGACCCTAATGAGCCTATGTCTGTTGTAAAATCAATTGTGGCACTTGGGAGTTCCATGGGGTTGGATGTGAGTTTGGAGGATGTGGAAGAATTGGTGGAAGACCACAATGAAGAGCTCACCTCTGAGGAGCTGCAAGAGCTTCAGCAGGAAGAGCAACACATCGCAGCTCAGAATCTTGCTGCAGAGGAGGAGGAAGAGAGATGGAAGAAGGTGCCTTCTTCAGAAATTAAAGAGATTTTTACTATGTGGGGTAAGATGGAAAGCTTTATGGAGAAACATCACCCTAACAAGGTTGTTGCAAGCCAGGTTGGCAACATGTACAGTGACAAAGTCTTGGGCCATTTTAGGGAAGTGTTAAAGAGGTGCCAGAAACAGAGCTCTCTCCACAGTTATTTTGTGAGACAGGACTCCAGTGACTCTCAAGGTGGTCCTAGTGGCATTAAGAAACAGAGAAGAGAAGCAACCCCAGAAAAGCAAATGGTACCTGAGGTGTTGATGGAAGGGGATTCCCCTTCCAAACTATAAACAATCCACTCTCTCTCCTCCTCCAGTCTCCCATACACTTAACCCTTTGACTGTCGAAGGGCCCAATCCTGAAGTGTCTCCTGGTGTCGCAAAATATTCGAAAAAAAACAAAATTTTTTTTTTCTTATGAAAATGTTAAGATTATTTTTCTGATTGTTTTAGTCCCAAAAAAAATTTTTCCCATCAGTACTTACCGAGATATAGAGGCATGAAGTTTGCAGAAAATGAGCCGCGTATGGCAACAGCGGCGACTGCCGCTCACCCGGTAAACTTTAGTTTACTTGTATTTGAAGGTTTGTTGTTTTTTTCACTATTTTATTTTTTCACATAACTTATGTGGCCTGTGAGACCAAAGTAAGGTGCAATGTACATATATACACTCGTTGTATACAACACAATAAGCACACAAACATAATTATCAATATATTGTTTACAAAACTTGTTTACAAAAACAAACAATACAAAAAATTGTTTGTTACTATTGTTCTATAATATATATACCAATATACAGTCACTGAACATACTCCTAGAAGTTCTGCAGCTTGTGGAACTCTGTGAAACATGGTGTCATACACAGTGGTGTTTTACACTCCTCACACATAAAACATGGTGTCATACACAGTGGTGTTTTACACTCCTCAAACATAAAACATGGTGTCATACACAGTGGTGTTTTACACTCCTCACACATAAAACATGATGTCATACACAATGGTGTTTTACACTCTCACACATAAAATCAGTGTGTGTGCATTTTTGTTGAATTTTTTTTTTATGTGCAAAGACAAAATACCTCGTCTGAGCAGTTTTCTTCAAAGTATTAGCAGGCAGTTGTGTTATGTAGTTATCCTAGGTAAATGGTCGTGTGTCATCATTCCTTCCTTCCTAATTTCCTTCATTCCTTTCCTACCTGGAGGCTACCTGGAGGGCATTCCACCTCTCTTCCTACATTCCTTCATCTGTCTTTATTACTTTTTCCTTCCTTTCATCTAGTCCTTCCTTCATTCCTGCCTTCCCTTCTTGCTTCTGGTTTCTATAATATATATACACATATATAGTCACTAGATACTTTCATAAAACTGCTATTATCACCCTTCAGCAAGCTTGTCTTGTGTGCGAGTGTGTGGCTTATAATTGTTTTGAGTCAGGAGTCGGCAGCTGTCAAAATGACATATTGTCTCATTCGTCACTCCCCCTACCGCCTGTCAAAACAATGGGGTCGGATGCTGCTTCCCCCTCCATTCTATCTAATTATCTTTCTCCCTCATTCTATCTCTTTCAATCTGTCTCTCTTTCTCATTCTCTCTGTCTATCTCTGTCTCACAGGTACACACAAATACAACTATACATAGTGTAAATTACCTAGGATAACCCAAAAAATCCAGACAAAGTGCTATACTCTGCTTGAAGATGTGAGTAAACGTGATGATGACACAGTCTTGTGGCTCTCTCTGAGACAGATCTAGACGGATAGACAGGGAGTTTGGCAGACAGACAAATGTTTGTTCATCATCATCTTCTTCTCCTCCTCCTCCTCCTCCTCCTCCTCCTCCTCCTCCTCCTCCTCCTCCTCCTCCTCCTCCTCCTCCTCCTCCTCCTCCTCCTCCTCCTCCTCCTCCTCCTCCTCCTCCTCCTCCTCCTCCTCCTCCTCCTCCTCCTGGCTCTTGACAGATGGACAGCTGCCCCCCTCCCTCCACCCTCGTTTACGCTCATCAAAGGTCAGCTCTTATCAGATGTTATCTCCCCTTATCTTGTCACTGTCATGGGGTGAACTGTTTTCATGCCTCAAGGGAACATATTATTACATATTATTTTATAGGTATTATTCTTATTCTTCTTCTTCTTCTTCCTCCTCCACCTTCCTCCTCCTCCCCTCCTCCTTCCTCCTCCTCCCTCCTTCTTCCTCCCTCCCTCCTTCCTCCTCCTCCCTCCTTCTTCCTCCTCCCTCCTTCTTCCTCCTCCCTCCTTCCTCCTCCTCCCTCCTTCCTCCTCCTCCTCTCCTCCTCCCTCCTTCCTCCTCCTTCCTCTTCCTCCTTCCTTCCTCTTCCTCCTTCCTTCCTCCTCCTCTTCTTCCTCCTCCTCTTCTTCCTCCTCCTCTTCATCCTCCTCCTCTTCATCCTCCTCCTCTTCCTCCTCCCCTCCTCCTCCACCTCCTCTATGCTTTTGTCTCAAACTCCTCGAAATCATGAACTTGATCTTCATTGACACTTCCATCTGTGTTAGAGCACCACTTGGGAAGAGAAGAGTCCCAGATTTGCAGGGAAGTCACATATTTCTTACCGCTAGACATGCTGAAAAAGGACCACTGAAATGGTATTCCCACAATGCACCACTGGCTCCCCGATTTTTTTTATATGGTGCACACTGACCATGGAGACCCATTCTCTCACATGTGGGCCTACCAGCTTTCTCCTGCTTGATTTGAAGCCGCTAGAATTTATGCGTATAGATACGTCTAACACGGTATCTCCTATGACGTACATATAAGACCGCGACAGTCAAAGGGTTAATTCTGTAAGAAAAAATAATATTTTTTTTTTTTTTTCAAAATTTCTTGGACACTGGGGCACTACTTCAGATTTTGGCCTTGGACCCTGAAAGGGTTAACTGTCAATGTGTTTGTGCTATTTGAGTACTATTTCAGTACCTAATATTAGTGTCAGAACAAAGATTGGGTATGAAATCAGAAGAGCTACTACAAATTGTAATTATCAGAACATAAAAATTATATAAATAAAAAAAGAGAAAAAAATATATCAGCAACATTTCTGCAAGCTGCAGGACTCCATATTGCCGTCAGGTGAGCATCCAGCTCCAACTTCATGGTCTTATATCTCAGTAAATACTGATCCTAATTTTTTTTTTATCCTGTTACATGTAGAAAAATGCCCTCTTTATTTAATTTTTTTTTTTTTTTTTTTTTTAATATTCGGAGAACTGGGTGAAAGAACATAGAACATAAGAACATAAGAAAGGAGGAACACTGCAGGAGGCCTGTTGGCTCATACTAGGCAGGTCCTTTACAATTCATCCCACTAACAAAACATTTGCCCAACCCAATTTTCAATGCCACCCAAGAAATAAGCTCTGATGTGAAAGTCCCACTCAAATCCAACCCCTCCCACTCATGTACTTATCCAACCTAAATTTGAAACTACCCAAAGTCCCAGCCTCAATAACCCAACTAGGTAGACTGTTCCACTCATCAACTACCCTATTTCCAAACCAATACTTTCCAATGTCCTTTCTAAATCTAAACTTATCTAATAAAGTTGGTAGAATTACCGACAATATGTAAAGTAAAAGGACACAAGTGCAACTAATGTGACATTTATTGTGGCAACGGTTCGCTCTCCAGGAGCTTTATCAAGCCATTACCATCTACATTTGGACAGTTAAGGGGTCAAGGTAGGTAATATGTGTACTGTACATGCATATTTTAGGCCTAGCTCTATCGCTCACTTAATATGATAGTGTAAATATGTTTTCAGGATTTTATATGCATTTGAAAGTGAAAAAGAAATAAGGCTATGATTCACTTTGCGGCAATTTTCACTTTACAACAGTAGCCCAGAACCTAACCTGCTGTATAAGCAGGGCCCTTCTGTATGTACTGTACTTGCTGCTCCTATTCATCTAGCAGTTAGTTACATACCTGGTTGTTGTGGGTAGCATCCCATATAGTACAATATATTCAAATAACCAAAAAAAATACGGCTAGTAAAACCCACTTTGTAAATGCACATTTTATTATAACAATGATGGTGTGTTGCTGCGCAGGGCGCAGGGGAGGGGCACGGGAAGCTTTTACCAAGGGAGGGAGATGTGCCTGTGATACCGCCGGGCTCCCATCAATGGGGAGAATAGTGGCTCTTCCAAGACTGTAGTCTTGGTTTTATATTTATTTACTCATAAGTCCCTGAATATAGAGCACATATTTAATAAAATTAAAAATCCTTATAGAAGCAATATGCAAATAAGATAATTTAATTACATGCATTCCTAATATAATTGAGTATAGTCCATTATGATTTTGAATACTGCAGTCACTGGAGGTTATTACAGCAAACCATGGGTTTAGCACTTTTCATGAATATAACAGTATTAAAGTAAAATGCTTTATATGAATATTTAAGCAGCATAATACTGTAGATGCAGTGTTACTACACAAAAAAGAATAATCATACGAGATCATCTTGTACATCTTAAAATGAAAGGTGAATTATTATTAGGTTATTATTCATGTGAAGCACTAAACCCATGTGGGTCATTCAGCATAAGGAGTGGTGGAGGCTCGATCCCCCATCTGTCAAGTGTGAGACATGTTAACTAACTGTACTCACTAATATGTATTATTTTTATTTTTCAAAACTGTCACTATGCAATTGTATATTTAATATCAAGATTATACACAACCAGCATTCTTCAATGATATGCTTTTGATTATTGGAATGGTCAGTGAATCTTAAAGATTTGACAGATTGTAGACTGTCCTGTAATGTAATTATGTCTAATTACTGAAATTCAACATTAAAATTGACAAAAATTACTTAATACTTATGAATTTAAACATTTTTGCTCAAAGTATTCATAATTTCTGTATACCACTCAATAATCTTTTCTCATATATGTCCAGTTATAAATTTTGCTTTTGACCATACATACTGCAATATCTCATATTCACAATATTATACTATACTGTATACCTAGATCCAAATTTTATATATTCTAAATAATAATAATTAAATGCCTCTTATTAAAAAAATCCAAATTAAGAGATTTTCCTTGATACAGGTATTTAGAATTTTTGATCTCTTCAAAATTCAGAATTTCAGAGATTTTGAATTAAAAAATTTTGAGAGCCATACTATGTTGCTGTACAGTATATGGTAAATTCTAAATTGCAGGTATTTTCTTAATTGAAATTTAATAATGATGCTCCTATTTAGAAAATCATGAATTGTTGTGATCATTTCCAAATGAAATTTCATTTTCTAAATTTACAGTAGTAGAGTTATGAGTAAGTGTGAAGTTACTACTAAACCTTTCAGCTGATGTTTTATACATTTACCAGATATTTTTAAGTTAACACACTAAATTTTGCACTTAAAATGATACTGATGATAATGCCCTCGTGATTGTGTGTAGTTTTGCTGCTGTACAGGAATATATTTCATGAGATTTAGCCTTGAGCAAAATCACAGTGAGGCTGTTAGAATTACAAAAAGAAAAAAAAAATTCTTCATAAAGCAAGTACTGTTGTATTATGGCATTTATGTCTCTTAATTATTTCAGTTTACCATGATTAATTTAGATTTTTTTGGAAAATACTGTGCTTTAGTCATTATTCCCGGCGGCACTAACTTGAAGAGAAAACTGAGTTTCTTAATGGGAGAGGATGGTGTTGAGGAAGTTTGGTGGGTTGATCGCTCCATGTCAAAACTCTACCTGTCAGTTTTTCTCACCTTGACAGTCACAAAGCAACACCCACACTACACTGCCACCATGAAGCGATTCTGTACAGCAACTCTTCTACCACTGTGCCTTGTAAAAATCTTTTCTTAATCTTTAATCAGTACCTCTAAAGCCTTACATTCTTTGACCTAGGATGAGAAACTTTGTATGCATGGGAATGACATTATTACAAATTAAGTAAATTGTTGTTGAAAGAATACCATTACAACATGGTAGGTAAAAATAGTGTGAAAGTGCATATGTCAGTCAGTTTTGTGCCTGTGTGATTTGTAATTACCAACTTATAGTCACACAGAGTCACTGTTATCATAATGTTAAATTTTGCAGCAGTATTTGCATAAAAACCTCTCTTCAGTGCATTTCACTTTGTCAACTGCTGTATTTACTAGACACAGTGCTTTTGTTTTACTTGCTGCTGTTTGCTCCAAAAGCTTTCTTGTTTGTTCCCTTTGACTCTTGTACACTTGTAAGCAGTTATATTTTTTCTTCATTCTCAAACTGATGTCAAGTACACCATTGTCAATCTTTATAGAATTCTTTATTTCCTCTGGCAAGCCTGGTTGATCAGCTATGCTGTTCCTACTGGCACCTTTTAAATGTACTTGCCTTGTTTCCTTATGTCTTCTACCTTTGAATTGGCACTGTCTTATATTTACTACTTAAAAAAATGGTTGAGCCTCGGACCTTGGATATTGTTGTTGATAGTATGGGGTGCACACCACTGAGTGTGCATATGCTTATGTACTCATTAGTATTGAAAGGCACATTTGCTTTTTTCGTTTTTTTTACAATATTGGTATAGTATCATATTTGTATTGATCATAAAGTATTAAACACAGACATTATGTATCAAAATTTAATGATTTTTGGGGTGAGCTTCATCACTTGACTTTTAACTTAAAGTGAAAGTTTCAAGGAATCATCTTGGACTGCATAGTTTATTTGTCATCGCAGGAATAGTTATGCTTTTGATCTCAAAATCTTTTCATTGCTGTATCATCATTATGTTTAATCTTTGCATAGTGTCTCATAGATATTATTCATAACCTAATTCTCAATTTATAAGTTACAAATTGCTACGGTATTATAGTCTTTGTGCTTTATTCTCTTAAAATTGCCTTTTTGTAGCTTAATTATCCTAGTATGGTCATGTGAGCATGGAAGTTTGTGCATTGGGAGGTATTCTCATGTGACTTGTCAGGTGTGGTATGACCCTTATTGGTGTAGCATTTCCACATGGATGTAATAAATGGTAATAATCTGATTCCAAGGGGTCTTCTTGCCTTTATTTGCCAACATGTATTGTTGAACCATTTTTTCTAATATCTTCAAAATTTAATGTTGGAATGCTGTATTCTGTGGCAGGTTGTACATTACTGCAATTACTGAATTATTCTTACTATGTAGTCCCTTACACCCATTTTATCTATTCCTTCCATTTCCTCAAGTCCCCACTGGTTTTTGGTGAGCAGTGTGACTCCTCCTTCCTCTCTGCTCTCTATCTTTGTACCCTACTATCTTATAGCAATATCATATACACAGGTTGACAATTTCCTCTTTTCTAATCATATTTATCCTGTTCACATACTTTTGTTTCATTTAAATAGCTTGGTTATATATGTTATCTTAAGTAATCTACAATCCATGTTTCTATTATGTTGCATTGACATAGTCTATTGGAAATTTCTTTTTGTCTGATCCCCATAGACCAAATATGATCACCTCCTATTCCCCAGGCAATATGTGACCCCCAATGGGCTTAGCACTTCTCCATGAATTAATAATGATCTTTTCCAGCAAATATAAGATCCATTATAGATGATCTGTCTTCTTTTATTAATGTACACAGGAAGAAACACAAGCCAAACTGACATACATATACTTGCAACACTATATTCAGGTCAAGAGGGAAAAAAAGTACAAAATTATAAAGCACCAAAAGTTTGTGCCCATTATGTGCCTCCTTCAAAATTCAAGAGGTAGAAACAATACTGTCATAAAAGGATAATTGAATTAAAAAAAAAAAAAAAACATACTGCAGTAATCATATGAACTAACTCCACAGGAAAATTACACACACGCTTGGGGAGACAAAGTTCATCCCCCAGAAGTTGTGTAATACATAAAGCATAGTATCTGAGGCTAAATATTCAGTCAAAATTAATGTTTAAAGCACTAAAGTGTGCAATTTTTTCATTTCTTTATTACTGAGAAAAACTGTATCAGACTATGCATGTAATTACCCATTTCATTCCTTATCAGACACAATGTACTGTTGGAAATATGACTTGTCAGTTCATCATTGTGAAAAGATCAACAATTAATAACCTTAAATATGTTTTGTATTAAATTCTTTCCAATCTACAGCTGGAAGTAATAGCCTTGGAGAACTATCATCAAAGGCTAAAATATTGATGATCCAATCACTTATTAAATACTTCTACAATGGACAAGAGTACACTATATACAGATCATTCAGTCTAAATAAAAATTTATCAGAGTGAAGTCTGAGACAGAAGGAATTTCGAGCAAAATTGTCTATGAGAATATAGCAGTAGGATTGGGTGATATAATACATAGCATATATACTAGACAAGAGCAGAGGAGTTAGTAACCCCTCAGAATGCCTTACATACAATGTGATGTCGAGTGTCCAAGCAATATCACTTATCACAGGCCCTATACAAGTTACATGAGATGCACAAATTGAACTTGCCTGATTACTGGACTTCACACTATGGTCCTATAATCTGGTACCAAACTCCAGTCAGGCTACATAATTCATGTGTGCAGATAAGTAATTTTATCAGAAAATGTCTTCTCTGATATTTGCATTAACCCATACCTAGCCAGGTTGAGTAATTAATTTGTCTGTATTATAAACACCACTAACTAGGATATATTGTATGATGCTTTGGTGTGTATACAACTTTCATCAAAAATGCTTCTGCATATCTGTATCAAACACCATTAATCGCACTCTTGTTCACATAACGTAAATGGATTCCACATCTTGCAAAAGTCAAACTGTTGTGTATGTATTTGTATTAGACACATTTAAATCATGTCTTGTAATTCTAGAAATTTACATCAATTCATTTTTAATGAAAAGATTGTAAAATTACATTGTTATGCAATCAGACGGTAATATGATAGGAGACTGTCAGCCCTTTTATTCATTTTCTTCACTGACTGAGGGCCACCAAGAAAGTACTGTATTTTACAAATAATGTCAATGCTTTGTTTTTAAATCTCCATAGTATTATTGTAATATTTTTTCTACTTTAAACTAAATCACTTCTTACACCCTACATCTTCTCATGCTTGCTAACGTCACATCGAGTATTGCCAGCAGTGTCTCGTGACTCGATGATTTGATTTTTGTGACACTAGCTACATAATACTTTGATTACGGGAGATTTATCGAAGGAGTAGAAGTGTCTCTTGGCACTAGGGTGGTATGTACATAATACTGGCGGCGAGTGGGGACTAGAACAGGACTCTGTATGGGACTCTTAGAGCTCACATTAATTCTGTCTGTCCCACATGCCCACACTTGGCCAGCCCACCCATGCACTTCCAGTAGATGCAAAGCTATGGTGAGGCTATGACTCAAGTTCTCGGTATACAGCTGAACTTGAGTACTGTACTTAATAGGGGGGCTGGGGAATTGTAAGGGCAGGCATCTCACAGGTACACCTTCTTGACAGAACGGGTGGTTGAGTATCCATCAACAAGCCTATGATCATAATCTCGTGGCCGGTGATCACGGCCCCTGGTTCCATACTTCTCCGATGAACGCAGAGTTCCATGGGTAGAGTATGACTCTGGTGTGTAATGCATGGGGATATCATGGGGTCCTGCTGACACGCCAGTAGTAGGAAGCCCTAGAGATGGTCCCATGGGGGCACCTACAGATCCCATGTTTCCTCCGGGAGTGTTTGAACCAGGAGTTTTTAAAGTAGCCTTGGGAGACATATTCAACACAAGATTAACTGGCTTATTGAGTGCCTGGGGAACCAAAACAGGCTCTGCATATGTTACCTCTTCTTGAAGTTCACCTGTCAGCCGGCTGTGAAGAAAAACAAAACCAAAATGTTTTCAACAAATGTTAATTCAGTCTTTTATATTTTGAGAGCTTGTCTAAGTAGCAAATACTAAATGACTATTAACCGCTGTGAAAAATTAATGCTATAATTAACCAAATATAAACCCCTACAATTTGTACATTTAAATTTGCAATTCAGCATACATTACATTTGAACTTGCAGCGGGTTAACTCATGAAGATGTACCACTGAAATATATACTGAAGATATGTATGATCAACTTAAGATTCCTCAGATTTCTTTCTTTTAGAAGGGGAAACATGGTACTGAAAAAAACATCTATTATATTTGGTAATGATCTGAGCAAAAAGCTATAATTACAGTTATTAGATGTATACTATAACCTCCATTTTAGTACACACAATGGATGTCAAAATTAGTGAGAGCCAGACATGATGTAATGGGCTATGCATCATCACTAGAATATTTGGCCATAATTTGCATCTTTTAAATTTTAATAGGTCTGATAAAAATACATAAAACTCCACTGGTACTTCATATTTAATATATTTCATAATAACCTTATATAGTGAAGATGTAATTAGTGTTCAGTAATAATATGTATGGACTTTAAGGAAATTATCATTTTTACTATATTAAAAGGTTGAAGAATCATCTTCAAATTAATTTTGCATGACTTTACTGATTTCCATTGGCTTATGTTTCAAATTCAACAAAGTTTTTCTATTTTTTTTTTAGTCCTAACTTGGACAATTCTAGCCTTCCCTGCCCATCTCTCCTGGTCAGTCTTATGTTTTTCTTCATCTCAATTAAGTCAGGAGACAAATGGTACAGATGGTCTGCCTCCTCGTGTATATAACAAATATGCTTCACTTAAACTGATGTGTGTTGTGTAAACAGTGAGATTCACTTATATTCAGAATGCACAAAAAAACACTGGTGTGCTTCCTCATGTATACAGCAAATGTGATTCAGAGCTTCACTCACATTAGTTGACACTTTTTGTTGCACTTTATCTTCTAAAACTTTTCTTTCATTTGGCATTTTGGAGACATGTTCAAGTTTAAGCTACTTTTCTCATTTTTCCCCATTCTATCACAAAAGTGATTAAATCCATTTAGAAAATTTAAAAAAATTGAAGAATCATCTCTATGCCTACCTGAGCACTTGATATACAATTTTAATCTTTAAAGGTTGCATTCTTCATAATTCAGTTAGGGTTTGTCTGCAGTTGTCACTGAAATGCAAGTGCACTTTGTGCAATCTAATTCTCACTTGTCTGATCTTGAAAATTTACATCCAGTGAATTTAGTTGTTAAATGGAGGTAGAGTTCTAGGTTTTCTCTTAATCATTAAGTGAAATTCCACTAAGTGAATTTTTATTAAGCAAGGGATGATGTATGTTTGTTTGTGTGTATTTATTTATTTATTATTATTGTCAATGTATGCACCTCTTAATATCTATGCATAATAGAGTACCTATGATTGTTAGGTAAAAATATCATGTGGTTCTTCAAACTTAAATAGCCAAAATATTAATTTTAAAAACCTTATATAACAGAGACTATACACACTCAGATTCATGATCAGTGCATCAAATCTGCTTTCTGAGCTAGATATAAAAAAGTTGAATTTTGTTGGCTAGTGTAATATTATTAATAATAATTATAATAATTTCTACATGATACATAGTTTTTACAAAACTGGATGATATTTAACATTGCACATGGAGCCATGTTATGCAGAACATTAATATTGTAGTGTGCCTTAGCAAGTGACCCAAATAACCTGCATACAAATGCTATAAAACATTAGGAAGAAATCAGACAATACACTGCAACCTTAAGAAAAACATTTTTCCTTAAATATTTATCTGATTTCCATTAACTCTTTAATAAAAGTAAGTGGAAACAATAGCCTGGGACTCATCTTTCCTAGACAATAAAATATCAATATAGCACATATATACAGTATATGCTACTGTATTTAACTCATCAAAAACAAAAATATTTAAAGCATTTTAGGAAATACTGCATACTGATAAGACAGCAGTCTTATTATTTTACTATTAAAATAAAAATTAGGAAAAAATGTGGAGAATTCTGTAAGTGCAAACGAAAGGGAAGAATGATTAAAAAATATATAAAATGAAGTACAGTAAAAACAGTTCTAAAAGATGCCATAGGTTGTGTGATATATTACAACATGGATGGTTAGAATTATACAATCTACACTACTATATTTATTAACAATTTAAAGTAATATTTATGCTGAAGTTAAAGAGATGTGTATCAGTACCATGTTAACTACCTTTGACTTAAGTGTAGGGTAAACCAGATGTACATTATTCCACCAATTAAACCTACTGGCTTTCTTTTTCTTTTTTTTTCTCTGTAGTAATGGCTAATGCAAAAACAAAGTAAAATTTCTATTTTTGCAAATAGTAATGCATTGAAGAACTCGGACAAAGTCAATTATGTCTCCCTTCTATTAATAAACTAAAAATTGAAGCTGTAAATGAAATCAATACAAATTTTAAATATGGTATTACTTGTATGTAAACTTTTATCAGCACTAAATAAAATTCTTTTTAAGTTATTATTAATGCTATAGAAAATGTGACACAGAACAGAGATTTTGTAAATTATAAGATAGGATAAAGAAGATATAACACAGCTTTACATGATTTCCACTTGTTGAAATGACCAGCACTGTTTAAATAATAATTATTTTTGCAACACCAATAGGCAGACATACTTTTAACAGTTAAAGTTTAAGTGCCATTTATTGTAAAGTTCCTAAGAGATGATGTGCTTGTGGTAAGATGGTCAATCATGCACTCATAAGGTGCTTGGGTTTCAGTCTCACTGATCAGAGGGCACAGTTTTGTTCTCACAACACAAGGCCCTAGTTATGCTTCTGTCAGTCCTAATGCCACTCCTTAGAGATGCCTGCTGATAGGCAAAAATATAATTCTTCAGTATCTCACCTCTACTGTGAAGGTGCACACAGAATATTGCCCTTGCTCATGCCAACGTGGCTCAGAAACAAATTCTTGATGTTCAAATTAATCTGAGCATATGAAATTAAATGGCAGTGAAGTTTCTAGCCTCGGTGGCAATGTAAGAGTGTCTTAGTGATTTTTGAAGCAGTAGTACCTCTAGATCTTGTTGGGAGGTGGATGGAAGTGAGGAGCCGCTTCAGGATGTGAGGCAGTCGAGTACGGGTACTGAGAGGAGCAAGTGCCGAGTAGTGCCGTGGCGCCAAACTCCCCAGCCTGACCATGACCGCTTTCCATTTATAAGTGAAAGTGAAGTCAATTTATGTTACTGGCCACAATTACATTATGGGGAATTCTCTTCACTCTTCAAGATACTGACAGTGTAATACAGAAATATCTAGAAAACAAGTGGAAACCATAAGGGCTTGTGGAAAGATCAACCCAAAAGAATGAATATATGCAGTTGCATTTGCATCAACATTACCTCTCGAGCACATCTTCAAAGTATTTGTCAATAACAAATTTTTTACAATAGAGATCAAAGAATTTGAATACTTTAAACAAAAAAAAAAAAAAAGGAAAAAATGGAAGGAAATTAAATGTGCAAAAATAAGTTGGGTAATACAAAAAAAATGTAACACTTCAAGATAAAGAAAAATGCTCTATTGCAATGGTGAGTAAAAGCAAGTAGACTGTACTCATAGCACTCTTTGTAAAGCATCTTGGCATACTTTCAAATTTGTTATTTAGTAGAAAGAACAGATTGAAAGAAAATATAGCCACAGCTAATTATAAATTTTCAAGGTGCAAACCAGGTACATGAGTGTGCTATCCTGGATATACAAAAGTGCTAAAAATATATTCTCCAAAAGAGAGAATTTATTAAAACACTTGTTAATGACTGGAAATTTAAAATTTAAATTAAAAGAGGAATGCATATACTTGTTCCATAATTTTGGTCATTACTAGACTGTTAAACTAGCACTGTTATCTGTCAAACTTCATTGAGATCAAATTAGTCACCCCCCCTTCAAAAAAAAAAAAAACTACTGCACATTATATACAAATGTTATTAAAGGGTAATGTGAAAACATTTATCTCTTCTCATATAAACATATTTCATATGAATACTTCACCTGCTCACTGTAAAGCAATTAATAAAAAATATATACATACCTATTGGCATTTTGTCTTTGATCAAAATACTCATAATCTGTATCAGCATACAACTGGTTGTCTTCATCCTTATTGCACTTTTTTCCGCAAAAAAATCCAGTAATAAACCCTAGGATGAGTGCACCAATGGTTGCAGATGCTACAGCTATGGCCAACGTTTCAGCTGTGAAATGCAAGGGAACACTCTGGCTGCTTGGCACTTTATGATCTGTGGAGGATTTGCTTTTTAGATCTTAGTCTTAGTTTTTATTTTTACAATCAAGACAGATTAGCAAATACTATACTACATGGTAAAATAATTTCCACAAATATTAAATAGCTCTTCAGGCAACTTTTTCCATTGACAGAACATGAAAAATATTTGTCTCTTTACCAAAAATCTAAAAGGTTTTCCACAGAGTGACTAAGTACTGTATACAGTACATGCTGCACAGAATTAATCACTGCACCAGTCATTAATGGGATAATATGCAAAATTTTTGAAGCATATTGATGACTAAACATACAAAAAAGTTATAAAAATTACACTGCCTAAACAAATCGTTTGTATTATAAAGTTAGCAGAAAACAGAGGCAAAAAAACATAATGAAACTGTTATTCAGAATAAAGATACCCAGGTGTTGCACATGTACAGTGGAACCTCAGCATACAAATGCCCCACCTTGCAAACTTCAGGATACGAACAGTAGTTCGGTCAATTTTTTGCTTCTGGATACAAACAAAATTTCAGGATGCATACTTCCCCTTCAAGGGAGGTTCCTTAAATAAATAAAATATTTATTTCTTTGCAAAGCTTACAATGTGTGTTTACATATCATAATATGACTGAAGTAAAGAAAGCCACTATCATGCCAAGGCATTTCGGGCAGACTTAACTTAATACAGGTACCGACTTACGACTGAGCGTATGCCACTACGCTTCTTAAATCTTAAGAGATTTAAGAAGCATAGTGGCATACACAGTGTGGTAAGGCATGGTGAGGCTGCCAGTTCTGACAAATATGTGGCTGAAAAATATGAGTGTGAATTCAAGGGGTATGTAGAGGTAGAAGAATTCAAACCCCAACAAGTGTTCAGTTGTGACGAAACAGGCTCTTTTGGAAGAAACTGCCAAGGAGGACCTACATCATGCAGGAGGAAAAGGCACTACCAGGACACAAGCCTATGAAAGACAGGTTTACTCTTTTCTTCTGTAGTAATGCTAGTGGGGATTTCAAAGTGAAGCCTTTACTAGTGTATCACTCTGAAAATCCCAGAGTGTTCAAGAAAAACGGTGTTGCCAAGAGTAAATTGTGTGTGATGTGGAAGGCTAACAGTAAGGCATGGGTCACAAGGGGAATTTTCCTTGATTGGTTCAGTGTGTGAAGAAATACCTCCTGGAAAATAAATTGGAACTCAAGTGCCACCTGATAATGGACAATGCTTCTGCTCATCCTCAAGACTTGGATGACCAAATTGTGGAGGAGTTTCGTTTCATCACAGTAAAGTTCTTGCCCCCTAATACCACTCTTCTCATCCAGCCCATGGACCAGATGATCATTTCAAACTTCAAAAAACTCTACACCAAAGCAATGTTTCAAAGGTGCTTTGATGTGACCTTAGATATTCAATTGACCCTAAGAGAGTTTTGGAATGAATGCTTCAGTATCCTCCATTGCATAAACCTTATAGGTAAGGCTTGGGAGGGAATGAAATCCAGTACTTTGGACTCTGCTTGGAAAAAATTGTGCCCAGATTGTGTCCAAAAGAGGGATTTTGAAGGGTTTGGGGCTGACCCTGAGGACCCTATGCCAGTTATGGAATCTACTGTGGCACTGGGAATTCCATGGGGTTGGATGTGAGTAGAAAGGATGTGGAAGAGTTGGTTGAGGACCACAACAAAGAGCTAACCAATGAAGAGCTGCAACAGCTGGAACAGCAACAGACCACAGCTCAGGAAATTGTTTCAGAGGAGGAAGGAGAGAGATGGAAGAATGTGCCTTCTTCAGAGATTAAGGAGATTTGTGCAATGTGGAGTAGAATGGAAAGATTTGTGGAGGAACATCACCCTGACAAAGCTCTTGCAAGCCGTGCCGGCAACATGTACAATGACAATGTCTTGTCCCATTTTAGGGAAATTTTAAAGAGATGCCAGAAACAGAGCTCTCTGGACAGATATTTAGTGCCACAGGTGTGCAGTGACTCTCAAGCTGGTCCTAGTGGCATTAAAAAACAAAGAAGGGAAGTAACTGCAGAAAAGGACTTGGTACCTGAATCCCCTTCCAAACAGTAATTAATCCATCCTCTCCCCTCCTCCCATCTTCCGTACACTAAGAAGAATCATCAATAAAGGTGAGTGTCAGGCTATTATTGTTTCATTCTTCATGTCTCATTGTTTTCTGTGTATGTACATCTATATTTCATGTAAAAAAAATTATTTTGTTTTAATACTTTTGGGTATCTGGAATGGATTAATTGAATTTACATTATTTCTTATGGGGAAAATGGTTTTGCAAATTGTCAATTTCGATATTAGTCACACTCTCTGGAACAGATTAATTATGAAAAACGAGGGTCCACTGTATTGTTATAATAATTATCATTATTATTATTAGTAGTAGTAGTAGTATGTACATGGTAAGAGGCTCTTGATCAAGGGAATTGGATCTGTGCTCCAGTTCCTCTGAAGGAGGGGTGTTAATGTTGCAGTTTAAAAACTGTAGTGTAAAGCACCCTTCTGGCAAGACAGTGATGGAGTGAATGATGGTGAAAGTTTTTCTTTTTCGGGCCACCCTGCCTTGGTGGGAATCGGCCAGTGTGATAATAAAAAATAAAATAATAATATAATAATACTATAATAATTATAATAATAACAAGTGAGCTTCAGAACACCATGAGATGGCAGGTGGAGTACCACAACAACAACACGTGCATACAATGGACCCCCGGTTTACGATATTATTTCATTCCAGAAGTATGTTCAGGTGCCAGTACTGACCGAATTTGTTCCCATAAGGAATATTGTGAATTAGATTAGTCCATTTCAGACCCCCAAACATACACATACAAATGCACTTACATAAATACACTTACATAATTGGTTGCATTGGGAGCTGATCATAAACCGGGGGTCCACTGTACTTGCAATGGAAGGAATTCTTGTGTTTTCCTTACGTTTCGTGCAGTTATTTCACAAAATTTCTTTTTTCTAACAATGGGTCCTAAGAAAGCAAGTGCAAAGGACAGTGCTGAGAAGAAAAAGAGGATGATGGCTATGGAAGTAAAGTTTGAAATCATACAAAAACACAAAAAAAGTGTGAGGGTAGTGTACCAGCATAGCACTTTTACGATACGCACAATACTAAAGCAGGAGTCTATAAAGGCTATAGTGCCAGCAAACTGTAGTAGTAAAGTTCAGTGATAAGGTGTAGCATTAACCCTTTCAGGGTCCAAGGCCCAAATCTGGAGTCACGCACCAGTGTCCAAGATATTTCAAAAAAAAAATTTGTTATTTTTTCTTATGAAATCGTAGAGAATCTTTTTGTGAAGGTAATAAAACAAAAAGTACGAAAATTGGTGGAAAATTGACGAAATTATGCTCTCGCGAATTTTGATGTGTCAGCGATATTTACGAATCGGCGATTTTGCCGACTTTGACTCCCATTTTAGGCCAATTACATTATTCCAATCAACCAAATTCTTAGCTATTTCACTAGTATTACTTCTATTCTATCGATTGAGCACAAGAAATCGCCAAGTCAAACTGTTTCAACTACAAAATAAAGTGATCGGAAATTGTTAATTTGGCCAATTTAACACAAAGTTCAAAATATTCCAATTTCAAAATAGGGTCCAGAATGAACAATGTAGGCATTCCTGGCACTAAACTAACATTTCCTCTGTTCATTAGTTATGTTTTGAGGCTTTACAAATAAATTCCATTTTGATTTTTTATTCACATAATGAATTTTTATTCACACCAAAAAATAGAAGATTTACTGTTATGCAATACTGTAATAATTGTATAAATATCATCACCATATTTGTGAATGTATATTAGACCCACCAGCTGATGTGTATTAGACGTGTGAGGTTGTTTGTTTACTCTTGAATATCGGCAAAAATTTAACATTTCCGCTACTTTGAGCTCAGTTTCAAGCCATTTCCAATGCTAAAACCAATCAAAATCATCTCTATTTCTGTAATATGTCTTCCTTTCTATCAAATGAGACCAAGAAATCGCAAATACAACTATAAAAAACATACGAAAAAACACTGCAAAGTTGCTGTTTTAATCGAAAAATCATGATTTCATTTTTTTTCTCTCATTATGCACAGTGTGCTGCAGGATCTGTTTTATGTGGTGCACACATACCACATAGATGTATTCTCTCATATCTAGGCCCAAATGTACCACTCACAGTTTATCAGAGTGAGCTGAGCTCATGGCGTAGATCTACGGTTTGGACCCTGAACGTAAAGCCGTAGATCTACGGGACGGACCCTGAAAGGGTTAAGAGTGTAACAATTAAGTTCAGCGATTAAGCGATAGCATCTCTTCTTCACCATCTCCGCAAGAATCTCTTCTCCGCCATCAATCTCCGCAAGCATCTCTTCTCCAAGGTAAATACTGTAGTACTACATACACCAGTTTATTTCTTGACATTATGTTTACCTTATGAAATTACATAGTGATCTAATACAGTTAGCCTTCACAAACACTCTGTTTTCTCTTATAATAAGAGCATGGGAAGATACTATAGTCAGTGAGAGAGTAAATGGTGGATGTTGCCGCCACTGCCATTGCCGCCATCACTCGCCATGTTGTGGCCTATTTTATTCATTCTAGAGTATATATCATGTTTCTACGTTATTAATACAGTGGACCCCCGCTTTACGATCAGCTCCCAGTGCGACCAATTATGTAAGTGTATTTATGTAAGTGCGTTTGTAAGTGTATGTTTGGGGGTCTGAAATGGACTAATCAAATTCCCAATATTCCTTATGGGAACAAATTCGTTCAGTACTGGCACCTGAACGTACTTCTGGAATGAAATAATATCGTAAACCGGGGGTCCACTGTATTGTTTATTATGTCATCTTAGATGAATTGTGATAGGTAAATAAGCTGTAGGGTTGATATCAGCGAAATACTGAAGTATTTTGTCGTGCCTTCTGAGAGCTGGAACGGATTAATGGTTTTCAATTAATTTAAATGAGGAAAATTGACTTGGCATACAAACAAATTAGGATACGAACAAGGTCACGGAATGGATTAAGTTTATAAGCCGAGGTTCCACCGTATCTTATTTATCAATTTGTCAGTATTGTATATCATTACTGCTACCACATTTAAGGGAAAAAAAGAAAATTAATTTCACAGCACAAAGAAAATTATGTTGTAACACTGGCTATCTACTACCAAGGTAGGGTGATCCAGAATATATATATGACAGGTTTAATTCCTTCTATGCAGGAATACTGAGGAATTTTTAAATTTCATAATTCAATCTAAAAGCTGAAGTCCCCTGCCTTTCAGTAATCAATAATTACCTAGTATCTTCTTGCAAACTCCAAATACTCTTGTTCTTACAAAAAATATTTTGTATTAACTCACCTACACACATTATACACACCCAAAGTTTAGCTTCATTGCAATAACTGCAGGATGTCAAAATTTCTGGCTTATAAATTATGAGTATATTGCCTTCCTGATGATCAACTTATGTATTTGGAACTGGTAACCTATTTTTTTTTTTCATAAAAAAGTATTAATATAAAAGTTATGTTCAGAACTTGAGACTGGCATTCAAAATGCAATTACTTTGTAAATAAAATACTGTACTATTGTTCATAACTGGGACAGTTGTAACACTGAGAGCATCTGTATGTACAGTGATGTATTATTTACTTATTATTTAAACTTGAAACTCCTCAAACCTTTTTTGACCTCACTTACCTAAATCATCATCATCAGCAATTGGAACAGGAGTGCCTGATGCACCAGGATTAACCGAGGCAGAGTGTGATGGCAGATGGGTTTTCTTCTCTGGCTTTCCACAATCACTATGAACACCATCACTGATATTCTGGATCATCTCTTTCCCAATTCCCAGCATGCGGCACTTGTGATTATTCTTGTCCCAGGCACAATAAGGATCTTGCAAAGCAACACATTCACTGAAAACAGGTAAACAGTCTCAGATTTTTAAGAAATACACGAAGATGACCCTGCCATAATTCAAGTCTATGGGCATTTAGTAACTGGGCTTATGGGAGCCCTCTTTTCCACTGTTTTTGCTGTTCCCAAATCTTTCACTTTAATCAATTTTTATTTCAGCGTGCAGATTAGATACCTGTCCCTGTATTTTCTATGTACAAGCAGAGATTATGAGATCTCTCTGTTCCAAATACTGTAGTTCATTATTAAATTTAAGGAACCACCAAACCTTTCAGGAGAATGAAAACCAATTGGCTTCATTCCAAGGAAGAGAAGGACAAATCCAATTCCTTAAAAGAAGAGCTCTTCAGTGGCATTATTGAAACATTCCCTGAGGAGGGGGAAGGTCTTAAAGAGATGACTTTTAAAGTTTAAGGTGCTTTGTCATATTCCCATAAATGTAAATGTTTTGCCAATTCTATGTGAGTAGTAGATGATCCCTGTATATTTTCTAGCTCAGAAAACTAACATTGAAAGTAATGAAAAAAAAAAGCCTGGTGAACCTTCTAGAGAAAGGTTTCTCCCCAAAAAAATTACGATTTCAGGAATAGACGTCATATCTCACAAACTTAATAGAAGCCTATGATAGGTTGATGGAGATTAAGCAAGAGAAGGATGGGCAGATTTTATATACATGCTCATGCACACTTGCTGGAAGTCAAAGCCCTTCACAAACAAAACCTCCTTTACCTCCTCCCTCCAACCTTTCCTAGGCCGACCCCTCCCACGCCTTCCCTCCACTACAGATTTGTATACTCTTGAAGTCATTCTATTTTGTTCCATCCTCTGTGCATGTCCAAACCATCTTAATAACCCCTCCTCAGCCTTCTGGATAATAGTTTTGGTAATCCCACACCTCCTCCTAATCTCCAAATTACGGATTCTCTGCATTATATTCACACAACACATCGCCCTCAGACATGACATCTCCACTGCCTCTGGCCTCCTCCTCGTTGCAACATTCACAACCCATATCCTCATACCCATACAAGAGCGTTGGTATAACTATACTCTCATACATTCCGCTCTTTGCTTTCATGGATAAAGTTCTTTGTCTCCACAGACTCCTCAGTGCACCACTCACCTTTTACTCCTTGTCAATTCTATGATTCACCTCATCCTTCACGGACCCATCTGCTGACACATCCACTCTCAAATATCTGAACACATTCACCTCCTCCATACTCTCTCCCTCCAATCTGATATCCAATCTTCCATTACCTAATTTTTTTGTTTTCATCACCTTACTCTTTCCTATATTCACTTTTAACTTCCTTCTTTTACATACCCTACCAAACCCATCAACTAACCTCTGCAACTTCTCTTCAGAATCTCCCAAAAGCACAGTGTCATTTATTGTCATCACTCTCTCTTCCACTCTAGAGAGTACATATTCAATGCTTTGAGTATTATAAATGCTTTTTCAGCTCTATATTAGCAGTAAACTATCTATTCTAGCCCTGATATCTCCCCTGCCCTAAACAAAACAGTCAATCAACACTGAATAGCACTCGAAGTGAGAGAGAGCACAAGTGATTTGAATAGTTCCGAATGCCATTATTTCTTGTTTTTAAAGTACTCATTATCCACCCCATAATTGTTCTGGCTTTCATAACATTTGCCTTATTGTGTTATCTAAATGACAAGTCAGTTGACACTGTAATACCCAAGTCTTTCACATGTTTCTTTTGTTCTTTTAGGTCATTACCTTGTTACAGTGTTCCTTTTGAGTTCTAATTTATCTCCATATCTGAACATCATGTTATTGTCTACTGTCCACTGAAGACTTTGCTTGTGGCATCCTCAGCTCTCACTGATAGGGAGGGATCCAAGATCTATTCCCAGCATGGGTGAAATGTTGGGCATGTTTTATTAAACCTGCTGCCCTTGTCCACTTAACAGTAAGTAGGTACCTGAGTATTAGTCGACTGCCAGGGTTGCATCCTGGAGGCCAAAGATTAGCTGAAGTTGCCCAAAATGCTCTGCATAACTAGAAGCTTTCTGAATAGTATGCCAGTGATGTCAACTAGGTCTATGTTGGTTGTATCATGGACTTGTACAAATAAAGATTATTATTATTACTGCAATTTTTTGTGTACAAATAAGTTTAGCTGTGTCTAGTTTTTATTTATGCTATAAATATGAAGAACAGTAAAGGCAACAGGAAGATGCCTTATGTTACTTCGCTAATTCTAGATTTAGCTTTAACTACTTATTATGTCGATTTGTTAGAAGATAGAATATCCATTTCCCAACTTTTCCCACCATGTCTATTGATCTCATTCTATAGGCTATGACTCCATGACTGCATTTGTCAAAAGCCTTTGTGAAGTCCAAGTAGATGACATCTGCATTTTAGTTTTCTTCCAAAGCCTCTATAGTTTTGATGTAATGGTTTAGTAGTTGTGACAAGCATGGCATGACTAGTTAATGGCCCAAGTCAAACCAGCTTTATTCTCTTATATGTAGGTTATTTGTGCATGGTCTTCCCATTGTAAATCCATGCTGGTTTGGATTTTGAAAGTAATGCTTTTCCATAAAGTTGGTACATAGTGTGAGACATTGTTCTTGTTCTATACAGTGAGTAATTGTTTTAGTGTTTGGGGATGTAGTAGATTTAACTTCAGTGAATGTTTTTTTTTTTTTTTTTTTTATTATCACACTGGCCGATTCCCACCAAGGCAGGGTGGCCCGAAAAAGAAAAACTTTCACCATCATTCACTCCATCACTGTCTTGCCAGAAGGGTGCTTTACACTACAGTTTTTAAACTGCAACATTAACACCCCTCCTTCAGAGTGCAGGCACTGTACTTCCCATCTCCAGGACTCAAGTCCGGCCTGCCGGTTTCCCTGAATCCCTTCATAAATGTTACTTTGCTCACACTCCAACAGCACGTCAAGTATTAAAAACCATTTGTCTCCATTCACTCCTATCAAACACGCTCACGCATGCCTGCTGGAAGTCCAAGCCCCTCGCACACAAAACCTCCTTTACCCCCTCCCTCCAACCTTTCCTAGGCCGACCCCTACCCCGCCTTCCTTCCACTACAGACTGATACACTCTTGAAGTCATTCTGTTTCGCTCCATTCTCTCTACATGTCCGAACCACCTCAACAACCCTTCCTCAGCCCTCTGGACAACAGTTTTGGTAATCCCGCACCTCCTCCTAACTTCCAAACTACGAATTCTCTGCATTATATTCACACCACACATTGCCCTCAGACATGACATCTCCACTGCCTCCAGCCTTCTCCTCGCTGCAACATTCATCACCCACGCTTCACACCCATATAAGAGCGTTGGTAAAACTATACTCTCATACATTCCCCTCTTTGCCTCCAAGGACAAAGTTCTTTGTCTCCACAGACTCCTAAGTGCACCACTCACTCTTTTTCCCTCATCAATTCTATGATTCACCTCATCTTTCATAGACCCATCCGCTGACACGTCCACTCCCAAATATCTGAATACGTTCACCTCCTCCATACTCTCTCTGATCTGCTTTTTTTTCTTTACTCTGCATATATTCATACTGTCCCACCTGCTGTCTTTCCATACTTTTATGTCCACTTAGAGTCTGTGCCTGGTTTCTATCTTTTGCCTCCATTTATCCCTTTGCTTAAAAAAAATATAGACATCTATAACTCTTAACCCTTTGAGGGTCGACAGGCCCTTTCCGAGACTTGTTCTCAGGGTCGGCCAAATTAAAAAAAAAAAAAAAAAAAAAAAAAAAATTCTTAGGAAAAGATAGAGAATCTTTTTCCGATCATAATGACACCAAAATTATGAAATTTGATGGAAAACTTATGGAATTATGCTCTTGAGAAGATAGCGGTCTCGGCGATGTTTACGCATCGGCAATTTTGCCCACTTTGAGCCCCATTTTCGGTCAATTCCACTGTACTAGTCGACAAAAAACATAAATATTTCGCTAGAACTCCATTTTCTCTATAGAATGAGTGCAAGAAACCACCCATTTACCAATTCCAACTATCCAGTACAGTGGTCAGAATTTAGCAATTTTGCCAATTTCACATAAATTTCAAAAGATGCCAATTTCCGAATAGGGTCCAGAATAAACAAGAAAGACATTCCTGGCACTAAAATGACATTTCCTCTGTTCATTAGTCACGTCTCAAGGCCCCTCTTACATTCTTTTGCTTTCCACTTTGAATTTTTATTCTCACAAAAAATAGAAGATTTACTGTTATGCAGACTACTGCATTAGTGTAAAAAATGGTATAAATAATATTGGCGCACTTGCAAAAGAATATCAGACTCACCAGTTGACGTGTATTGGACGCTTGGCATGATTTGTTTACTTTTGAACTTTGGTAAAAATCAAACATTTCTGCTACTTTGAGCTCAATTTCAAGGTACTTTTCATTGTAAAACCAGTCAAAATCATCTCAATTTCTGTAAGTCTTCCATTCTATAAAATGAGACCAAGAAAACTAGAATACAACAATAAATACCATACGAAAATACAGTGCAAAGTCGCTGTTTTATTCCAAAAAAACGGTCAGATTTTTTTTCTCATTATGCACTGTGTGCTGCAGGATTTTTTTTATACTGTGCACACTGACCACATAGACCCATTCTTTCATATGTAGGCCTACCAGCTTTCTCCCACTAGATTTGAGGGCGCTAGAATTTAGGCATACTAGTACGTCAAAAACCCTGGGTCGTAAGCCGTACTAGTATGGCCGAAACCCTCAAAGGGTTAATGCCTCTGTGAAAAAATATGTAGCCTTTATCATAATGTGGTCTTTCCTCAGGTGAATTTTTATACATTTTAGAATTGTACAAATTGCATATTTATTCATTATATATTTGTAATCAGTGTTTTTTTTAAATATACAGTTGACTTTTGAGCAACGCAGAGATTAGAGGTGCCGACCCCTAACACAGTCGAAAATTTGCATATAACTTTTGACTCAAAAACTTAACTACTAATAG